GGCCAATTGAGAACGAAAAATCTTTTTGGGGTAGTGTTAGGACGCATTTGTAACCTAATAGTTGAGATTGTCCAGGGTCAGGTGCTGACTGTGATGAGTTAAGCCATAGAAAAACCCATAGATAAAACATGGTTAGTCTATGATAAAACATACTCCTGGATGTTTTATCTATGGTTAAGCCTATTACGTGCCACTGTTCTGTAGCTGCGGTGGTTATCACGATTACGCCTCCTGTCTATGTTTCGTTGTCGAAGGAATTTAAAAGGAAAAAAAACAACAAATAAACATATTATAGCTACACAAAACAACGATAAATGCACAAATTTAAGTTACAACCATACTAACACGTTCCGTCTTGGGGGTTATGTTGACACAAACTCAAATAGTGAATAAATGTACTCAATGCGTTTCATTGAATTGAAAAATAAATTTTATTTTTATTTTTTTTTTATTTTTTTTTATGTATTTATTCACAATCTATTCTATACTAGAATAATAAGTAAATTTGATAACCATTTTAACATGGGTTAGTTACACTCCATCAAGTGCACTAACATACAAAAACTTTTAAAAAGTTCAACTAAAAACGATTTGGAAGGTCTATTGGATTAACTCTTTCGAGCCTATATGTAGCTTCACTATTGTCGAGGAGGTTAACTGCCAGGAAATTTGGATGGGTTTCTAATTTTCTTTGGTATTTTTCACTTCGTTTCTTTATTTCTTCTTTAACATAGGGTAATTTTGTATCTTGATGAATTACTTTATTTGTGACAAACCAAGGTGCTTGTAAAATTTTTCTCAGTGTTTTCGATTGAAACCTTTGAACTATTTCTATGTTTGAGTTGGAAGTGGTTCCCCAGAGTTGGATACCGTAGGTCCAAATAGGTTTCAATATAATTTTGTATAAAAGTAATTTATTTTCAACAGATAATTTTGAATTTCGACCAATGAGCCAATTTAGTTTGTTTGTTTTTAAATTTAAATGAAGTCGTTTGTTCCAAATGTGTGAATGCCATGTAAGCCGTCTGTCGAGATGCATACCAAGGTACTTAACTTCGTTGGATTGTGGAAGCATGACATTATTCAATGTTACTGGGGGACAAGTTCTTGTAGACATAGTAAATGTAACTTGAACAGATTTTGTTTCATTTACTTTAATTTTCCAATTCTGTAGCCACTGAGACAAATCGTCTAATGCAGCCTGAAGGTTTGATGATGCCAGAATAGGATCCTGATTTGATGATAAAAAAGCAGTGTCGTCTGCAAATGTTGCAACCGTAATACCCTGAGTACTTGGAAGGTCATAAGTGAACAAAATATACAAAATAGGCCCAAGAACACTGCCTTGTGGTACACCTGATTCAATTTCATGCACATCTGTAACTATATCTTGATATTTAATTTGAAAAAAGCGTTCGGACAAATACGATTTCAACACTCCATAGTATGTATGGGGCAGCAAAGTTTTAATTTTGAACAATAATCCTGTGTGCCAGACTTTATCAAACGCCTGGGCTACGTCCAAAAAAGCAGATGAACAAAAACGTTTATTTTCAAGATCTTCCTTGATTACATTAACTATTCTATGCACTTGCTCAATGGTGGAATGCCTTCGGCGGAATCCAAACTGATGGGAAGGCAACAATTCTTTTTCGTCAATTATAATTTGAAGTCTTTTTAAGAAAAGTTTTTCAAAAACTTTAGAAACCACAGGAAGAAGAGATATAGGCCGATACGAGGATGCTTGATTTAAAGGTTTACCAGGTTTCGGAATAACAACAATTTGTGAAACCTTCCACTGTATTGGGAAGTATTTAAGGCGTAAAACTGCATTGAAAAGTACTGTGAGGAAAACTATTCCTTTTCTAGGAAGCTCTTTAAACACTTTACCTGTTATCAGATCATAACCGGGGGCTTTTTTGCCGTTTAAATCGTCTTTTATTACTTTAGCTACTTCAGATGGTGTGAACAGTTTTATTGGTAAATCAAGTTGATTTGGAGAATCGAGGAATTCCAAAATTTCTTGCTCAACATTTGAATTAATATTATATGGCTTGAACACTTCCTTGAAGTATGAAGCAAATACATCTGCTTTCTCGATGTTGTTTTTGGCCCAAGAACCGTCTTCTTTTAGAATAGGTGGAATGCAAATTTGTGGACGTTTTAAGTTTTTTGTAACTTTCCAAAGGGAGTAGTCACTAGCTTCAGATGGAGAAAGGTTTGATGTGAAATCTTGAAATCTGTCATTGTTTAATTTAAACAGTAACCTTTTTAGTTGTTGAGTGGCCCTGTTTAGATTTCTTTTATCCGTCTGGTCTCTAGAGTTTTGCCATATTCTACGGAGTCGGCGTTTTTCGGCAATTTTCCTATTAATTTCAATTGGATAGTGTATTCCTGATTTTAAATTATGTTTATTCTGGTCTGGAGTTGCTCTCCAAGCGGAGTCTTGAACTGTTTTGTTGAAATGTTCAACAGCAAGATTCAAATCTTCTTCGCTCTTCAAACACACAGAAATCTTTAAATTTTGATCCATTAATTCACGAAAATAATTCCAATCTGTATTTTTGTTGCATAAATGTGGTGGAATAGGTTTGAATATAACATTTGAAGTGATCGTTAAAATTACAGGTGAATGGTCTGAGGAAAGGTCCAGAGATTGCTCGATTGTCACAAAATCTCGGGATACACCTTTTGTAACAAAAAAATCAAGAAGGTCTGGTATTTTTTGACGATCAGAGGGCCAATATGTCGGTTCACCTGTCGATAGAGTATCAAGGTTCCGTTCTTGGATTGACTGCAGTAGTTGTCGACCCCTAGGAGTTGCCAGACGGGAGCCCCATGTAGGATGTTTGGCATTGTAGTCTCCTCCTGACAAAAATTTACAGCCTAAAGTGCAGAAGAAATCATTAAACTGTTGGCGTGTAATGTTGTGTCTAGGTGGGCAGTAAATAGAACTTATAGTAAGTGGGCCTGTTTCAAACTCCACTACAACAGATGAACTTTGGATGAAATCGAACTGATATTTAGGCAATTCACGGTGCTTGATATGACTTTTAATCAAGATAGCACAACCTCCATGAGCTCTATTGCTAGGATGGTTAGTGTTGTATAGACTGAAATTTGGAATTTTACAAAAGTTTAAATCAGTAAAGTGAGTTTCAGAAATAAGAATAATGTCCAACTTATGTTTAGCAATGAACAGTTTTAATTCTTGGCATCGCTGTGCCAAGCCATTAGCATTCCACAAGGCTATCTTCAAGGTTTTCACCATTAATTGAGCTTTTTAAGAACAGTTGTAAGTAGGTCAAGTAAGGAACCTATTTGTTGAGATTGTTGGATAAACAGTTTTTCAAACCGATCAAAGAATGAAGTTATTGTATTTGTTAACTTTTCTGTGGATGCATCACTAGAAGCATTACTTGGCGTGCGTGCATTCACATTATCAGAACTTGTGCTGGGTTTAGTTTTGATACTTACTCGTGAGTTGCTAACTGCCTCCGCATACGAAACGTCAGGACGTGTTAGATTGTCAGAAGAAGCAGAATTTGATGATTGAGTAACTTCAGCTTGTTTTGAGACGGTAGTTCTTTCTCGAGCCTGGGGATGTGTTCGACTCTGGATATTTTTGAAGACCATGCATCCCCTGTAATTGGCTGGATGACCTCCTCCACACAAGGCGCATATTGCAGGAGTAGAATTGTCTTTAGTGCATTTGATTGTATCGTGTTCTTTTCCACATTTAACACATCTAAATGGATGCCTACAGTAGGTTTTTGTGTGACCATATTGTTGACATCTTTTACATTGAACAATTTCCCTTTTCCTATAAGGGGGTTCAAAAGTTCAAAAAATACTTACCTGGCGTAGGGGTTACCGTGATCAAGAAAAATAAATAACAGCAATTAAATTATACAGCTGATCAAAATGTAAACAATTATGTTCTTCATAAGGATAACATGGGAACTTTCAAAGCCAATGGGGCAGAGCCCAAGGGACTTTTTCAAAAATGTAAGGCCAGTTTGCAAATCTACGCGACACGCTCTTTCCAATGAGACGTCAATGGGTAAAATCGGTTAAGAAATGACGGAGGAGTTCAACCGACAAAGTTTCATGTAGCGTATTAATTATATAGATAATAATAATTCCTATCACATTCACTCATTAAACAAAACAACACATTTGTAATAATAAAACACAAAGATTTACTAATAAGTTATGGGTAAATGATTAGTATTTGTAGTAAAATGTGTGATTATGAAATGTCAATTGCTTTTTAGTGATAACAAAACGCTCCGAGACCAAGCGACTTGTCAATTGACCTTGACCGGCCACTTGCTAAACCTGTCTTTTGTCTAAAATGCTTATGGCACATTTATTATTTCTATATACATTGGTAAATATTCTTTTTCAGAAATATATATACTATAAATATTTTTACCATTTATTGTTATATACATCAAAAATTATGTTTTCTTTTTCAACTCATAAAACTTATAAAACAGTTATTACTGTGCACCAAAGTGTATAATATCATATAACTATATTATTACCTTTACTAATATAACAGTCTTGGCTTATTACAGTTATATTTGATATTTTTCTGAGTTTCAAAAAATTAGTGTACATTTATCGATATTTTCCTACTTTGTATATTTTATTTCTTAAGAAGGGGTGAAATTTTTTTTTCAAAAATCAAACATATAAAATGTCTATATTTTGTATATCTTGGATTATTTGTTCATAATTTTGTAGGAAAATACCAGGACTCTACTTTTGAAATTGTTGTAAAAATGTTATGCAAATTTTAGTTCTTCAACTGTAGCACAAAAATTACCCATCTTGTGAAATCACAAAAAAGGCACGGACATTCATCCAATCCATCAGGGTTGTCCTAGGGTTTAGTTACTAAATAATACCACCAAAGTCTAGACAGCATTTAAAAAATTGCATTATTATTATTGCCAGTCCACTACTTTTAATTTACACTTTTGTGATTGTAGAAATAAAGGAGGCTAAATTGAGGAAGAAACAAATCCAGCTACAACTGAAAGTTGAGGAGCAGCTAGCTCAGGCCATCCGCACCTGGACTGTAGAAATACTGCCTTGGTGGGATAAGATGTAAGTAGTAACATTAACAGATCTAGCAAACAGTCTTTTCCGATGAAAGTGGCTCAGCTGTAATTGTAACGGAACTGTCAAATATTTACTTCACTCGACTAACCTTCTGAGGCCCCTACACATTGCAAGAACAATTTTGATCTACCTATTGTCTTTCCAAAGTGGGATGTGGGATGTAAACATGGTTATTGAGGAATGCTTAAAAATAAGAACAATATAGTTCTGGCAAGAATTTAAAACTTCTACACCACTTTTACAGAGTTTGCATCACTTTATTATCTTTGATAATTTGAAAACCTTTGTATTTTGAACTTTTCACATTCCTGTTTCTCTATAAAGTTATTAAAATCAATATTTATTATACTTGACAATCAAGTGTTAGGCACCCTTAAATTTTATATTATGTAATACAGTTGCAGAACAAAAAAGAGGAAATCCTCCCACATGTCTTACTGGTAATAAAATCACATAATCGATTTGCCGTATTAACTATGACGACGGAGTGTGTCCAAAGATACACTTCAGTTTGGCCACAACATATTGGCTGAGTTCACATTGTCCCTACCTCAGTTTTAATATCCGAACCACAATCTATTATTTTATTGTAACAGTGTTGTTTTATTTTAGACACAGCAGTAAAAAAGCTCAAGATCTGTGGTGGCAAGGGGTGCCTCCATGTGTGCGGGGAAAGGTGTGGAAACTAGCAATTGGCAACCATCTCAATCTCACACACTCACTTTACAACATTTACGTCCAGAGGTATAAATTGACAAATAAATAAGATGTCTTGGGCAATCTAAGTATTTGTGTACAAGTAAGTGAAACATATTAACTGAGAATAGGTTGATTTAAAACAGTCAGTGTGGTTGTACATGTCATTCAAGACTATGTAATCAGAAACAAGAAGTTATCTTATAAATTTTAATCTGATTAATAAATTATACCTTAAGTGCTGGCTCAATAGTAATAGTAATAATTATACAGTAGTATGATTGTTATTGTTGTAATACATTTCAATCCAGCCATTTTCATTGATGAAATGTAACGGTACTTTACTGGGATTAATAAAAATTCTACATGCATCCTTTTGAGATACATTAACATAGACTTACTGAAAAGAGACTTTATGAGTGGCAAATACTTAGAATGTTCAGTCGGGTGTGGTTTCACTCAGTGCATTGACAATCCTACTAGAGTCACTCACTGGTGTTTTGGTGAGTTGTCTGGATCATATTTTTGTTAAATACAGCAATGTTTGTGAAATTAAATCTCTGTGAATCAGACGGCTGTGACGGATCACTACAGCACTGGACTTAAGATCACTGCTGCCACTACACAACCCAACAATCCACAATGCTCCACACCCTCACATACTTATATTCCATTCCATTTCCATTTCCATTTTGTTTTGTCATGAGAGCATGAAGCTCCCTGACTGCAAGCCCGGTACCTATAATTAAACATACCCGGGCCCCATGATGTAGGCCGAAGCTAATGCACCAACCTTTGGTACATCATGGGAGGATGACTTAAGGTCATCAGGCTCACCGGCTGCCGAAGCACACCCTTCAGAGAGAGGGTTTCCCCTCAATCCTAACCAGGGATACCGGCTACTTGTTTAAGCGTCACTCCACCTGGGTTCCCCCAGGTACAAAACCCACATACTTATATTGACCATAAACTACTCTCACACCTTCTCACACATTGAAACTGGGCTCCTGTTGTCGATTGTAATCAAGATGTTAATTTCTGCTCCGGCCACTTCAATACAATAGTTGTAAATTGTATTAAATCAGCTACCAAAACCTCGAAAATACCCCGTCCAGACTTTATAAAATCAAACCTTGGATTATTATTATTGATGGGTCGGTACTTGGCGTCAAATTTTCGGTTCCGCCGGTTCTTGGTAAAAGAACTGGAACCAAGAACCGATGGTGAAATGTCGGTACCAGTACCTTCAGTACCGATAATGCAGAAAGATTACCGATATTGCCGCGATCCCAGGAGGCGACGATGACGTCTACATGGTTGCAAGAGATAATCATGATTTAAAAAAAAATCATAAAAATGTAATCACTTTTTTCATTAGTATTTTATTGTTCTTTGTTGCATGTGTTTTTTACAGTAAAGTTATATAAAAAATACCCTCTGTTATTGTTGTAAGCTTAGATACTATTATTATTTATTGTATTTGTGTATCAACAGTGAATAGACTCTGCCAGTAACAACATTGTAAAATTGCATGTACCTAAAGATTTCCTCGCACGTGCGTGTGCACAAGAGGATGTGAAATATTTAGCATGATGTTGGATGAAATAAAGGTTTTTGAATTGAATTGAATTGAATTGAATTTTACCGCGATGACGACGAAGACGTTTCCGCGACCACAGGAGTTCATGATGCTGTCTACACGGCCGTGGGAGATGTTCATGATTTTTCTGCGATCGCGGGAGATGATGATTACGTTTCCGTGACTGCAGGAGTCCATGATGATGTTTACACTCCTGCGAAAGATGATTTTGCCGGGATTGCGGATGACGACGATGACGTTACTGCGATACCGGGAGACAATGATGACGTCTACATGGCCGCAAGAGAGGTTCATGATTTTGCCGCGATCGCAGATGACAATGAAGACGTTTTTGTGACCGTGGGAGTTCATGATGATGTCTACACGGCCCAGGAGATGTTCATGGTTTTGCTGTGATGGCGGGAGACGATAATGACGTCTACACGACTGTGTGTGATGTTTATGATGTTGCCGCAATTGTGGAAGATGATGATGATGTCTACAGGTCGCGGGAGGTTTTCTTGTTCTTGCCACCATCCGTTGAACAATGATGATGTCTACATGGCCGCGGAAGATGTTCATGGTCTTGCCGCGACCGTGAAAAACAATGATGATGTTTCAGTGAGAATACTACTATTATTACAAAATTACTTTGAGTTTGGCCGGACTGAAAATATTTTTAGGCTGGCACATTTCTATAGGCCTAGTACCTTAAATATGCTAGTTATTTGATGTGATAAGAAGGGTTTACACTTGGAAATTGGCTAGTTATAATGTTTCATTGCTGCATACATTTTTTACTTGAAAAACACCCTAATAGCCTATCTCAAAAATACTTAATAGAAAGACATAAAGAGAGGGGCTGTTGTAGTACAATCAATCCATTCAGAAAACTTGGTAAAGCTATTTTAAAAATGGTATTGGTATTGAGAATTTTTTTTTTGTATCGGTATCAAGAATTAAAAAAAATGGGTATAGTTGCATCACTAATTCATCAAATTAATATTTTTAACACTTCTGCTAAATTATATATTATTTTGGTTTGAATGTGTTTGGCTATTTAAGTGTGTTTTTTTTTTTCTACAAATAAGTTTTATTTTCTTAATCCCTTAAGTTTTGTACCAACCTAATACCAATGCAAAATACTGTAACGACGTAATACTTGAAACACTGTATGTACATTTTGTTTTAAAAATAAAAATCTAAGTAGCCTTAGGACTGGGACACTACCGATGACCCAGTTTTGAACGACAATGACTTTCGACTGAACTGCACTTTTGTCTTACAACCAATCAATGAACGTGACTTGCGACATTACGTTCACGGTTTACGGGGAGTGTCAGCGCCGGGCTGTGATGGTGTCTTGGCCCAGGTCCTTTTTTGACAACATCAGCGCCCTAGGCACAACCTTTGACTAATAGTAGCGCCCCTTTGCGATATATATATAAAAGGGTGACCACCAACCGGCTAATCCGGGAATTATGCGTGGAACTTTTTTTAACCAAAAATTATGCGTGAATGTTGTATTTTTACCTGGAATTGTCAATTTACCACGATCGCGCAGCACAACAATGACGTTTACGTGACCCCAGGAGACGATAATGTGTCCGGTGACACACAGCCGCGAGGGATGATCAGAACTTTTCCGCGATCGCAGAAGCTGATCATAATGTCTACACGACCGCAGGAAACAGTAAGAATTTTACCACAATCGTGGGAGGCGATTACGACGTCTTCACAACCGCAGAAGTCAATTACGATCTCTCCAGGACCAAGAGAGATACAATAATCGGCCGCGACGGATTATAAGAATTTTAATGCGATCGCGCAAGACGATGATAATGTCCACACAACCACGGGAAAAGATCAGAATTTTGCCTCATTCGCGGTAGACAACGATAATCTCCTCAAGACCGCGAGATATGTTCATATATTCGCGATCATGGAAGACGATGTTTATGGCTACACAAACACGACTGCGGGAAATATTCAGAATTTTGTCGCGATTGTGGAAGACGATAATGATGTCAACACGGCCGCGAGGGGTTATCAGAGGTTTACCGTGATAGCATGCAAAAACAACCACTAAATAATTTTTTTTATTTTCTAATTTTTGGTGCCCCCCAAATAAAGTTAATTGCCTCGCGCCCTAGGCACGTGCCTATTCGGTAAATCGGTCCTGTCTCAGCCTGAGTCTTGAAAAGCAATTTCAATGTTCTATATGACCCCTTACTTCATATTGTCAACTACAGCATCATTTATGGAGTTTTCCCTGATTGCTATAAGTTATAAAAAGTATTTCCTTTAGACAAATCTAACGATTTCATCAATAAAAACAATTATCGCCCGTTATCTCTGCTTAGTGTCTTTGAAAAAATAATCGGAAAAATAGTAAAGGATCAAATAGTTTCCTATCTTCAAACAAACAGAATCCTAGCTAGCGTCAGTACGGGTTTTGTAGAGATAAAAATATTTCAGATGCCTGTAGACTACGGGGTGGTCAAAGGTTCAACTCTCGGGCCAGTTTTATTCTTATTATGTATAAATAACATCTCTAAATTAACCATTTTTGGTCAAATGTTTTTATTTCCTGAAGATACCTGAATTTTCCTTCAGGGAAAGACTTGGCCCGAGGTACGAGATTAGGCTGTGCATGATCTTATGATTGTAAAACGATGGTTGAATCAAAACATACAAATCTCTAATTACGTTGCTTTTAGAGTAAAAACAGCGACCTTGAACATTTTGAAGGACTAGTAAATTTTAACAACTCATTGTTACATTTAAATTAATCACCGCTGTAGCTCTTACAAGACCAGAGATTTAGGTACACTGGACACCAAAAATCATATTAGTCCGTACAAAGAAACAAACATTTTTAAGGGAAATTTTCAAACATTCGTCAAAAAATCATTTTGTAAGGTTTGAATTGTTTGTTATTTCATTCATCTATATTAATGTACATTTTTCCAAGCTTGTTTGCAATCTATTAATTTTGAATGAGGGAAATATATCATTTTGAGAATTAGATTATAATAAAATATAAGATAGTTTATTATTTAAATTATCAAACGTCCTATGACACCAGACATTGTGATGTTGAATTATTGAGAACCAATAGCTGACTGTCTTCTAATTGTAATGGGATGAGGAGTACGACTCACTCAGGACCGCCTCCACGGCTGTGTCACCAACTGAGCAGACACAATAGACCCAAGGGGTCGACCATTAGCACGGTCTAGTGGTTTCCACATTGTTTGTGTTTTGGCTTTCTATCTACTCAAGACTCAAGCGTGGCTGTAACCACCTTCCAAGCATATCAACCTCAACACTGCACTTCATGACCAGCTTTCTCCTATGTATCTGTCTTGTAATAAGTTTATTTTTGGTGACATAATTTAAATAAATTTTACATTAACATCGAAATATAAATATGGAAAAACTGAACAGATTTATAAATGCTTGAACA